TCTCTTTTCCTCCCCTCCCCTCCCCAATCTTTCTTCTCTCCTTTTCCTTCCTTCCTTTTTTTTTTTTGGTAACAACTCTATTGAGATATAATTCACATAACATAGGATTCACTCATTTATAAGGTACAGTTCAATAGTTTTTAGCATAGTCAAATAGTTGTGTAACCATCACCACAATGAATTTTAGAGCATTTACATCATCTGAAAAAGAAAACCTGTACACTCTCTAATACCCTCACCCCCAGCACAGCCCTAAGCAACCACTACTCTACTCTCTGTCTTTATAAATTTCCCTACTCTGGATATTGCACCATTTGTGTCAAAATATATGATCTTTTATTATTACTGGTTTCTTTCATTCAGCATATTGTTTTCAACGTTCATCCATGTTGTAGAATGTATCAGTACTTCATTCCTTTTTATGGCTAAAAAATTGAATGGATATACCACATTTGGTTTATCCATTCATCAGCTGTGTTCTAAATCTAATTGGTTCAAGAGGGTGGGGCTCCCATTCAGGCAGGACATGAAAATGGGGCTGTTGCCCAAAGTTGAGGAGGTTGGGCTGCCATGTTAGTGAGCCTGGAGAATGGAGGGTGTGGGGTCACCACTCATGTGGACCAGGAGAACGGGACCACGAAAAGCTAGACGAGCGGTGTTAATGTCCCTGTGGGCCTGGAAGGCAGGGCTTATGTCCATGGCTGAGGGGCCTCTACCCATAATCCACAGAGTGTGGCCAGTGCCCAGAGTCTAGAGGACAGGGCCATTGCTCATATGTGCCTGGAAAACAGGATTATTTTCAAGACTTGAGCACTAATGAAATTTGTTCTACTGGGTTCTACTTGCTTAGTACTCGTGATCCTCTCTTTCCCTCCAATTTATTCCATTTGTTAATGGAAATGTCTACTCTATGTCTGTTCCATCATTGTATTTTGGAAGCAGATAACTTGTATTCTAGGTTTCACAGGTTCACAAATGGAAAGGACTTTTGCCCCCAGGGTGGAACACACCCAGAGTCTATCCATACTTGACTTACATAATTCAGAAGATGAGATTTTGGACTTACAGTTGATGCTGGAATGGTCTAAGACTTTTGGGATGATGAAATAAGGTGAATGTGTTATGCATGTGGGAAGGAAATTAATTTTAGGTGGCCAAAGGGTAGGATGTTATAGATTAAATTCTGTTCCCCCTAAAGTATGTGTTGGAATTTCTAACCCCTATACCTGTGGATGTAATCCTGTTTGGAAATAGGGTTTTCTTTGTTATGTTAATTAGATAATATGCACCATGCGAATAGGGTGTGTTCTAAAGGTGAACACTTCTGAGTTATAGAAAGAGCAGATAAGGGGCACTCATACTGGGGAAGACAGATCACCAAGGAACCAAGGAACACCTGGGGCAACTGACAAGGATGGAATCGACAAGACTAAGACTCATATTCAGACTTTTAGCCTCCATATCTTGAAAAAATAAGTTTCTGTTCTTTAACACCACCCATTTGTGGCACTAGGTATCTAAGACAATGATAGAGTTCTTTAAACATCATGTGGGGCATGTAAAAAAATATTGCCATAGAAAGGAAGAAGATTAATAAAAAAATGCAGATAAATTCACTTTGGAATAACTAATCCAGAAAGTACAATAACAAGTTATATACAAACTGCCCTTATGCTCAAATTAAAAAAAAAAGAAAGAAATTGAATAAGAGGAAAAGAGAGCTACGAGAAAAGAAAAAGAAAAAAAGGAATGATAAAATTATTGTAGTACTAAAAACTACATTAGAAGTAGCAAGGAGCAGATTATGGAGAGTAGGAGTGAGAAAAATCACCTATAAAAGCAATTAAAAAGATAATAAAGCTGGAAGACAGGCAATGGAGAGCTAATATATGGATTATGATCTTTTCAAAAATGGGAATAGAAAAAGTTGAACAAATATTATGGAAATACACTATTTAAGAAACCCTGAATTCACAGCTCAAATTAACAGTTAATTTAACAATTCTCATTATTAGGTATACATTGTTTTGTTTTTTTCTTATAAGTAGCACAGGGATGAATATCTTTATTCATATCTTCATCTTCCTTTATTACTTTAAGATAGATGCTTAGAAGTTGAGTTGCTGCAGTTGAGAATATGAATATTTTAAGGTATATATTGCCAAAATGCTCCTCAAAAGGGTTTTACCAATTTATATTCCCACTAACAGGCTTGAATGTACAATCTTGTTACATTTTTATAAGCATTGCTGTTGTTCTTAGGTACTGTTGAGTCGGTTCTGACTCATAACGACCCTGTGTACAACAGAATGAAACACTGCGTGGTCCTGTGCCATCTTCACAATCCTTGCTATGTTTGAGCCCATTGTTCCAGCCACTGACTATCCATCTCGTTGAGGGTCTTCCTCTTTATCACTGACTGTTACCTTACATGATATCTGTCTTAGTCATCTAGTGGTGCTATAACAGAAATACCACAAGTGGATGGTTTTAATGAAGAGAAGTTTATTTCCTCACAGTCAAAGTAGGCTAAAAGTCCAATTTCAGGGTGTCAGCTCCAGGGGAAGGCTTTTCCTCTCTGTCAGCCTTCTCTTCAGCGTTCCCCCAGACTAGGAGCTTCTTGGCGTAGGGACCCCTGTCCAAAGGACGCGCTCTGCTCCTGGCACTGCTTTCTTGACGGTATGAGGTCCCCCTGTCTCTCTGCTCACCTCTGTCTTTTAAATCTCAAGAGATTGCCTCAGGACACAATCCAGTTTTGTAGATCAGGTCCTGCCTTGCTAACACAACTGCCACCCCTCCTCTCTCATTAACATCATAGAGGCAGGTTTACAACATAAAGGAAAATCACACAGTACCAGGAATCATGGCCTGGCCAAATTGATACACATATTTTTTGGCGGACATAATGCAGACAATGACAATATCCTTCTTCAGGGACCTGTCCCTCCTGATAACATGTCCAAAGTATGTGAGACGTAGTCTTGCCATCTTTGCTTCTAAGGAGCATTCTGGCTGTACTTCTTCCAAGACAGATTTGTTCATTTTTCTGGTAGTCCATGGCATATTCAATATTCTTTGCCAACACCCTAATTGAAAGGCTTCAATTCTTCAGTCTTCCTTATTCATTGTCCAGCTTTTGCATGCATAAGAGATGATTGAAAATATCATGGCTTGGTTCAGGTGCACATTAGTCCTCAAAGTGACATCTTTGCTTTTCCACAGTTTAAAGAGATCTTTTGCAGCAGATTTGCCTGATGCAATATGTCATTTGATTTTCTTGATTGCTGCTTTCATGGGCATTGACTGTGGATCCAAGTAAAATGAAATCCTTGACAACTTCAGTCTTTTCTCTGTTTATCATGATGTTGCTTATTGGTCCAGCTGTGAGGATTTTTATTTACTTTATGTTGAGGTGTAATCCATACTGAAGGCTGTAGTCTTTGATCTTCATCAGTAAGTGCTTCAAGTCCTCTTCACATTCAGTAAGCAAGGTTGTGTCATCTGCGTATCACAGGTTGTTAATGAGACTTCCTCCAATCCTGATGCCGTGATCTTCTTCATATAGTCCAGCTTCTTGGATTATTTGCTCGGCATACAGATTGAATAAGTATGGTGAAAGGATACAACCCTGATGCACACCTTTCCCAACTTTAAATCATGCAGTATCCCCTTGTTATGTTTGAATGACTGCCACTTGGTTTATGTACAAGTTCCACGTGAACACAATTAAGTGTTCTGGAATTCCCATTTTTCAAAATGTTGTCCATAATTTGTTATGATCCACACAGTCAAATGCCTTTGCGTAGTCAATAAAACACAGGTAAACACGTGTCATGGATTGAATTGTGTCTCTCAAAAATATGTGTATCAGTTTGGCTAGGCCATGATTCCTGGTATTGTGTGATTGTCTACCATTTTGTCATCTGATATCATTTTCCTGTGTGTTATAAATCCTGTCTGTATGATGTTGATGAGATGGGATTAGTAACAGTTATGTTAATGAAGCAGGACTCAATCTACAAGATTAGATTATGTTTTAAGTCAATCTCCTTTGCGATATAAGAGAGAGAAGCCAGCTGAGAGATGGGAACCTCATACCACCAAGAAAGCAGTGCCAGGAGCAGAGTATGTCCTTTGGTCCTGAAGTTCCTGCACAGAGAAGCTCCTAGACCAAGGAAAGATTGATGAGACGGACCTTCCTCCAGAACCAACAGAGAGAAAAAGTCTTCTGCTGGAGCTGACGCCCTGAATTTGAACTTGTAGCTTATTAGACTGTGAAAAAATAAATTTCTCTTTGTGAAAGCCATTCAATTGTGATATTTCTGTTGTAGCAGCTCTAGATGACTAAGACAACATCTTTCTGGTATTCTTTGCTTTCAGCCAAGATCTATCTGTCATCAGGTCCTCTTCTGAATCTGGCTTTAATTTTACTTAATTTTAAAGCATAACATTCTTTAATCTTTGCTCATTTTATTGCCAAAATTGTCATATTATTGTTTTATTTTCATTTACTTGTTATTTATTTCATCTATGAATTTTTAGTTTTTATTCTTTGCCATTTTCTTTTCCATGTTTATGGAAAATATTTTCCTCAGTTTATTGCTTTTCTTTTAATTTCAAGATCTTTTTTACATAGATACTTTGAGTTTTTTATATAATCATATTTACTTATTGTTTCTTATGCTATTTTTTACTTAGGAAATTCTTCCTCACTCAGTAATCAGTTATATGTTTTATCTGTATTTTCCCTTAGTAGTTTGTGGTTTCAGTGCTTACATTTAAGTAAGTATTTCATTTGAAGTTCATTTTGTTTTTTGGTTTGGAGCAAGGATCTGACTTTATTCTTTCAACAAATAATCGAGTTTCACTATTATTTATTGATTAAGTTATCCCATTGCTATTACTTGGTGACATTTCATTTTGCGTATTGTGAAGTTTTTTTGTTTTATTATTAAAGTTTATTGTGCTCTGATTCATAAACTTTTTTCCCTTTATTTTAGAATGAGAAGAATTTATCTTCTGTTATTACTGACCTGAATATAATAATGGAACCCACAGAGTATTCAGAATTAAGTGAATTTGTATCTAGGTAAGCGAATTTACAAATTTATTTTTTTAGGAACTGTTTTTACTTTATAGTTTTAAGTTTGCTTTTTCTTTTTAAATAAATAAATCTTGTCTAAAACCATAACACCATTTTTTTGGCTTATATTTATTAAAAGAAATATATCATTTATATCTGACTATTATTCTGTCATTCAGTAAATATTTATCATGTGTTCACTATGTACTAGATATTAAAGTTAAAATGTGAGCAAACAAATATTATCCTTAGACCTCGTGGAATTTACAGCTAGTGGAGAAGTTGTATATTACTGTATTTTTACCCAAATAACACACGCCTGCTACGTTTGTTTGCCAACCATGCCCTTCCCCTACGAGATATTTTCGTAAGCACCGCTATGCTAGTTTTTTTTTTTTCCACAGCAATATATAAGAAAAATTGGCATAGCGGCGTTGATAGAAATACCTCATGGGGGGAGGGCATGGTTGGCAAACAAATGTAAAATGCACTGAGACGTAGAAGGTGTGCGTTATTTGTGTAAAAATACGGTGATAAAATAATCACATAAATCTAAAATTGCAATTGTGTCAAATGCTACAAAGGACAATTACATAATACTGTTGAAGGATCTATCAGTAAGCTAACTATCAGGGAGAACATGAAAAGGTTTTCTGAAGCTTGAGCTGAAATCTGAAAAACAAATAGATGTAGACTAACAAAGATGTCATAGACAGAGGGAATAGCTTGTGCATAGGCACTGTGCCAGGAGGGAGCATGGCATCTGTGAGCAACTGATAGAAGGCCGGTGTGACTGGAGGGGAGCAGGAGCAGGGGAGTGTAGTATAAAATGAGGCTGTAAAAGTATGTAAGGTTCAGACTGTGTGGTGTTTGGTATGAGGAGTTTGATTTTAGTCCTAAGATCGGAGTGAAGCTATTGAAAGGTTTTAATCAGAGCTGGGAGAAGAAGGCAGAAGTGTCCAATTCTAAAAAGAATTATTCTGCATGCTGCAGGGAGAATGGATTGTAGGGTTCTAATAGTGGATGTTGTTGTTGTTAGTTGCCGTAGAGTCGGCTCTGACTCATGACAGCCTTGTGTGTAATAGAACGAAACATTACTCAGTCCTATGCCATCTGCTTGATCTTTGATGTGGTTGAGCCTGTCGTTGTGGCTGTTGTGTCAGTACATCTCATTGAGGATTTCCCTCCTTTTCACTGATCCTCTACTTTACCAAACATGATGTCCTTTTCTAGTGATTGGTCTTTTCCTGATGACATGTCCAAAGTAAGGAAGACAACGTTTCACCATCCTCACTTCTAAGGAGCATTCTGGTTTTATTTATTCTAAGACTAATATTCTTCGTCAACACCACAATTCAAATTCATCAACTCTTCTTTTTTACATTGTCCATCTTTCACATGCATATTTAGTGATTGAAAAGACCATGGCTTCTTAACTAGTAAAGAGTGTTTGCCTTGAGCATTGTGCTCTTTTCAGAACTGTCTTGAAAGATTAGATAGAAAACTTAGGGGGTGCTCCCTCCCTGCTCTGCACTGAGTCCCGGGCTGGATTTAAAAATTGCCAAGTTCCCTGGGTTGGAACTGGGACTCGTCACGCACCCTGAGCCATTCTCCCAGCGTCGGAGAGGGAACAAATTAACAGGAAAAAATAATCTGCTAGCTCCTGTAAACTGAGAACTCAGGGTGGGCACTGCTCTTTTGCCGAGCCACAGGCATAAGAGGACCCACAGATTTTGAGTGCGTTTCACTGCTGCATAGACCTGTGTGGGCCCATTTCAACAGCATAGGCCCTCATTACCGTAGTACAACAGGGTATATACCTGAAGCCTAACCTCAACGGTATCAGCTATATGGTGAAGTAGCAGGTTCGTGACATATGACACTGCTCTGCCCATTAAGCAGGGTGCTCACCTACCCACACCAGGGGTCTGATGACTGGTGGTTCCACCCACGCCACCTAGCCACCTGTGACAGGGGTCCAAGAGTAAGTGTTGCCTCCCAGTCCTTATAGCCAACAACATTGGGTGCTCATAGTCTGGTTGCCAAACCCAACCACCTGCATTCTCTAGGGAACAGGGACACACTTTCCTCCCAGACACTCAGGGGCAGCTGTCAGCCCTCTGCCTTGCTCAGCATGTGCCCCCTACTGCAGCCAGACACCTGTGCCTACACCAGTCACCCCTGCCTGTCTAGGACTGTAGGTGAGAGCCTACACCACACACTTGGTGGCCAACTACCTGAACACCTGAGCTGAATCCATACAAGAAAGGTAAACAGACTCCTAGGCTTACATACCTAGTAACAGATCTAACCACCTGGTGACAGGACGTTAGAGCTTGAAAGGCACCAGTAATCAAACTAGCTCACATGAGCAGCCTATTTGGGCATATCAAAACAAAATAAAACAAGAAGCTAGGACACAGTAAGCAAACATAAAATAAATAAATATAATAACTTATTGATAGGCTTGGAGTCAACAGTCAGTATCAAATCACATAAAGAGGCAGACCGTGATGGCTTCAGCAAGCTCCAAAAACAAAGAATCAAGAAATTTTCTGGAGGAAGAGAATTTCTTGGAATTACCAGAGGTAGAATACAAAAGATTAATATACAGATCTCTTCAGGAAATCACGAAGGAGACCATGCAGAATGCAAAACATGCCAAGGAATACACAGACAAAGCAATAGAGGAACTTAAGAAGATTAGAGAAGAGCATAATGACAAATTTAACAGGCTTTAAGAATCAATAGACAGCAATCAGAAATCCAGAAGATTAACAATAAAATTTCAGAATTAGACAACTCAATAGAAAGTCATAGCAGCAGAATTGAGGCAATGGAAGTCGCAATTAGTGAGATTGAAGATAAAGCACTTGACACCAACTTATTTGAGGAAAAATCAGATAAAAAGATTTAAAAAGAATGAAGAAACCCTAAGAATTATGTAGGACTCTATCAAGAGGAATAACCTAAAAGTGACTGGAGTACCAGAATGGGGGAGATAACAGAAAATACAGAGACAATTTTTGAAGATTTGTTGGCAGAGAAAACTTGAGGGGGCAGTGAGCTTATGTTAATGGGAGAGGAAAAATTCAGAAAAGGAGGGTGAAAATGGCTGCACAAACTTGAACGCAACCGATGTCACTGAGTTGTACATGTAGAAATTATTGAATTGGTGTATGTGCTGCTGTGTATATGCTAAACAACAAAAAATAAATAAAATAAATTGTATGTATATAAAAAAAGTATTTTCATCTTTTATTGAAACACAGAATGTACATACCCAGCAAAATATCCTGCAGTGAAATTGGGACCTTACTTCTGGTTCTGAGGTTTCCTCTAAAAAAATATAAACCTTTTAGACAAGCTGCTGGAGGCCAAATTTAATGAAATCCTCCAGATTTCTGGCCAGTTCATGTAAGTCATCCTCTTCAAATGCATAAACAGCTTCTCAGTCCCCAACCAGGATGACTAGTTGTGATGCAGGTGCCAGGCAGTGGAGATAATCCTCACTGCCAAGAATGATCATTTTCTCAGGTTGAGACAAATACAAACTCTGGCAGAATTCCAGCTGTCCTCCTCATCTACAGAAACAGTCCCTGTGAGATCACAGATCTTTAACTGGAGATTTCCAGGAAGTGCCAGGTGAACACTAGTGGCGTTTTTTCCCCCCTCAGATACTCAGACAGCATTTCCAGGATTGCAGCTAAGAGAGAATAAAACATGAAGTTATTCAAACACACACATACACACACACAAACACAAGAAGAGACCATTGCTTGAGTCAGGCGCACCTTAGTCATCACAGTGATGTCTACACTTTTTAGAACTTTAAAGAGATCTTTTGCAGCAGGTTTGCCCAGTGCAAAGGTCATTTGGTTTCTCTAGACATCTGAATAGTCATAAAAAACTCCACAGGTAAGCAATGTGAATTCCCCAGTTAAAACCATTGGCTTTGATGATGCTAGATTCAAAAGAAATAAAGTTATGACCAAGTTAACAATTAAAAAATAATAAAGTTATGACATATCAGGGAAAAACATAAGAGGAAACACTAACGTATAAATTTTCTTTTAACCCAAAGAAAGTCAAGCACTTCTCTTGATTTGTCAGCATGTTTTATGTAACTCATGACCTCATAACACATTAAATAAACCTTTTTAGTAGTTTTCCTTTTATACAGCGGAAACATTTGTGGCTTTCCATGAAGTTTCAAAATTGTCAGGAGTTTATTATAAGTCACTGAGAAACAATATTTGTGATTTTTATCAAAGATCTTAAGGTTAAAAAAAAGAGAAAAAGCTAACCCCCCTTTTTTTCTTTCAAAACCATGTAGCTTGGGTTTCGACTCAGGAATTTTTATTCTATTGAGAGGCCTAACCTTTGCCTTCAAGGCAGATTACATGAAGAATAAATTAACTCTTCAACCCAGTAATCAAAGAAAATTTTGTTGTTTTAACAGTGAGAAACCCAGTTCTTTGCTTTATGTATTATTTGATACCAAAAGTTCTTAAAAATCTCATAAATTTACCCATCAAACTTTAGCCAGACAGGTAAAAACTTCGAACATATCAGATTAATTCCCTTTTAATAAACCTTTTAAACATTATCTTGTATACTATAATTCTTTAAGTGGCAAAAATGAACACGCTCATTAGCAGACTCGTGTGTGTGTGTGTGTGTGTGTGTGTGTGTGTGTGTGTGTGTGTGTGTGTGTGTGTATGCTTTCTGTGTGGCATAAAAAGCAAAAGTATATGAACTTAAATTATAATGAATATCTATTAACTCAATTTAATATCCTGAAGATCTTGGAAAATATTTTAAGCCTGTATACCATAAAACATAGTTACTGTTGAAATAAAGTTTAATTTTATTCAAACTCTAACTATTTCTCATTTATTCCCCAATGTAACGTTTGCTCTTTAAGATTTTATCACTTGGTTTTGCAAATCACAAAGTCTCTGCTCAGCCTGGCCAATTCATTGATATGGATATAACCTTAAGTC